ATACATACATACATACATACTTTAGTGTTGGATTTTGGGATGCAGGCCTGCAGCAGGGATCCGGGTGTCGCTGGAGCCAGGCTGCTTGGTACAAAGGGCTGCATCTGCTGCGACAGCGGCAACACCTGCTGAAAGGACTGGGCGGCTGTCTCTCGGAACCCGAACGTCAGCCCCTAGCCGCAAACTCTAAAGCCCACTACGCAGGCTGGAAAGATTGGTCGGCGTCGAGGTCTGAAGGCTTAGGGGTATACTGCTGGCTATTAACAATGCAACTTTGATTCCTTCAGTCCCCCTACACCCTAAGCCCCGGCTGAGCCCCTGAACCTGAACCCTAAAGCCCTGAACCCAAAGCCCTGAACCTTAAAAACCGGAGGTGCCGAGCCGTCCCTATATTCTGGCGAGCCGGAGTGAGACACGTGCAATAGTGCCTTGGTCCGAAAATGTCCGAAACCCTGTCTTCGAGACCACGGCTTAGGGATTTTCGGTTTAGGGTTTAGGGTCAGCTCCTCTTGGCAGGACATTGCACTACAACGTGCGTGTGAAGCGGGAGCCTTATTTCACAAATCGGACTCATCCGTCCCTAAACCCCCTCCTAAAACCCCTAAAACCCCTAAACGCAAAACCTGACCCAACCGCCGGGACTCAGACCTCTAGTCCCACTTTAGGGCTCCAGGCCTACAGCAACTAAAATTTAGGGTTCAGGGTTTAGGGTTTAGGGTTTAGGGTTTAGGGTTTAGGGTTCAGGGTTTAGGGTACGGCCCTCACAGTCGAACCGAAGAGTCTGTGCAGTAAAGCAACGTCAGCGCCTTAATAATCAGCATGGGGGCTCTGGGGCCCTTTAGGGTATACTGACAATAAGGAACCCTAAGGAAGAATATCGGTACTTATTTAGGGTTTATGGTTTAGGGTTTAGGGTTTAGGGTTTAGGGTTTAGGGTTTAGGGTTTAGGGTTTAGGGTTTATTTCAGCTTCTGCATTACTGACCTGCCAGCTTTCTTTCCAAGGAGACTAAGCCGCAAAGGAAAAGGAGGCCGACACACCCGAACGGGCTGAAAATTGACGCCGCCGGGGCAATGATATTATGAAGTCTTCAGAATATCGAACATAGACATGTCAGCACTACTAAGAACTGCAGGACGGAAACACGATAGGAGTCGCACTAGGGTAATGTAGGGGCCTCAATGATTCGAATAGGGTTTTGGGGGTATATTATACTACAACTCGAAGAAGGAGCCCCCCCAATTATAGTATAGGTAACCATGTAGGCCCCTATCTTATTCCCGCCTGAGGCGGGAGTGGCTGGCCAAACTGCTGGGGCTCTCGGCCTCCTAGGCCCAGCAGAAGCTGCTGAGGCTGCTGAGGCTGCTGAGGCTGCTGCTGCTGCTGCAGAAGCTGCTGCTGTAGTGCTTGCTGTTGCTGTTGCTGCTGCTGTTTTTGCAGAAGCTCTTGCTGCAACTGCCGCTGTTGCTGCTCTTGAAGCTGCAGCTGCTGCAGTTGCTGCTGCTGGCGGTGGAGCTGCTCTTGCTCCAGCTGGTGCTGTTGAAGCTGTTGCTGATGGAGCGCGTGCTGTTGAAGGGGGTGCTGTTGAAGTTGCTGTTGTTGCTGTTGCTGCTGCATCTGCTGCAGCTGCAGTGCGCGCAGGTGTTCCAGACTCTGCTGGAGCTGCTGCTGCAGCTGCGCCGGCTGTGGCCTTGGAAGCAGCGTCTAGGATTCAGGATTTGGGGTGCAAACCTAAACCCTAAACCCTAAACCACTGAACCCCTGAACCCTGAACTCTAAACCCTAAACCCTAAACCCCTAAAACCCGAAACCCCTGAACCCTGGACCTCACAAAAGCCCATCCTATGATTGCTTCGAGATCGACGGCTTCTCAGGCACTGAAACGACTAACGTTTTCCAGGCTTAGCCCCGGGCCTTACGTGACTAGTATTGCTATGATTACTTTTGCCATCTGTTACCTGTAAAATCTAGTACAATTTAAGAGGCTTTTACTAAGATTAGTACCATTACTATCAGTATTACTACTACCATTTAACATGTTTTCTGCAATTCAATATCATGGTCATGTTTGAAAGCTCGTTGATGCAACCGGGCGGCTGTGAAGGCAGCTGCGCCAGCGGCGGCTGCGGCGCTTGAAACATTTGCTGGTCCGGGAGAATCCCTGGTCGCAGGTCCGGCCGCAACCTTGCAACTGACTTTCTGACCGGCTTTGGGTGCAAAGGCTCAGGTTCTAGACTGGTTTCATCGAAGACGACCTTCTCATCGCAGCTGCTTGTACGGTGTGTCTTGGATGTTTTCGCCCCTTCATCATGATTTACGATGGTTCCAAGTCGTCGATGGTAGCTTCGTTGACGTTCGTGTACCTGCCCGATACCAACTACAGGACTCAGCATTGTGCCTCTTGCTCGTCCTCGTCCACATGTGTTGTAAAGTATTTGTTTGCATTCACTGAGACGAAAGCAGCCACTACGGTGTGACTGCTGTCGTGATCAGAGCGCAATCATGACCAGCATCATCACCATCAATTATCACCATCGTCATAATAATAATCATCATCATCATCATCACCATCACGATCACCATCATCGCCAACAAAGCCATCATCGTCATTTGCGGTTTTTATTCACGACATCATCATCATCATCAACAACAGCATCATCATCATCCCTGCCACCCTAGAAGTCAACACCACCGTCACCGTCACCGTCATCCTTGCGGGGGTCGTTTTCCATACGACCATAATGACTACCGGCATTGCTGCTGCAGACTAGAGACCTCCAGCAACTACCTCTGCTGTCCTGAACTTCCATACAAACCCCTCGCCGGCTAAACCCTAAACCCCCGGCCCAAAGCCCGAAATCCAAAGAGGCCTAAACCCCCAAAACCTCTTCGGCTGTTTTGGAGTTGCTGAGCCGAAGACCGAGCTTGTTGGTGGCCTTAGCATGGCGATCAAGGAGGCGCACTCGTCTGTCATGTATGGATTGCTTCGCGTGAAGCCCAGGCGATGACATGCCATGATCAACTCATGCCGATAGATGGCTCATGGACGAGTAGAACACATGTGGAGATGTGTGAACCTCTCGTTAAGGTTCGGAATCGCACCGGTTAGGTGAAAGGGCTCGCCGTTGAAATCTTTCGTTCTACCGGAAACCTTCCGTACAAACAAACCAGACGCCCCAGCGCCACCTGAGACAAAAGTAAACCCGTTGGACGAGCCTCAACACTGCGTAACCAGGCTCGCTTATATGATGTAGGGTCGATTGATTCGCTCATGCCACCACCAGGCCAATTAAAAGAACACTGCAAACTCAACAGCACCCTAATTCACACCCCACCTCATCTAGCTTACATCTTTCAATGCACCCTAAACCTTAAACCCTAAACCCTAAACCCTAAACCCTAAACCCTAAACCCTAAACCCTAAACCCTAAACCCTAAACCCTAAACCCTAACTCTGCTATGTGCTTCGGGTTTCGGCCTTCGGGTTTGGGGGTTGCAGACACCAGGATTGTACATCCAATGGCCCTGGAAAGGAGGGCCGTGGGTTGAGGGTTTAGGGTTTAGGGTTTAGGGTTTAGGGTTTAGGGTTTAGGGTTTAGGGTGTAATATAGGGGCCTTCATAATGAAAAAAAGGGCTTTGGGCTCCTTTATAATATATTTATAATAAGGAAATTGGGCTCCTTTATAATAGTTTTATAATAAGGAAACCCCCAAAACCCTATTCTAATTATTAAAGCCGCTACATTACCACCGCAACCTCTGAGGCCTTGACTTCGCCCAGGAAGGCCTAATGCAGGGGCCTTAATAATTAGAATAGGGCTTTGGGAGTATGTTATACTGTAGTTATAGTAAGGAACCCCCCCAAAATAGCAGAGGTAATTATTCAGGCCCCTACATTAGGGTTCATGGTTTAGGGCCTAGTTTTTGGAATTGAGTTTCGGGGTGAGGTCCCCTTCGGACTGCATCGCGAACACCTGTAAGGCCCTACAGGAGAACCGATGTCAGGTCGTGTTTAGGGTTTAGGGTTCAGGGTTTGGGGTTTAGGGTTTAGGGTTTAGGGTTTAGGGTTTAGGGCTTAGGGTTCAGGGTTTGGGGTTT